CTCAACGCAGGTATGCTTGTATTTTTGCTTACGTACGCAGCAAGTGACCACCTGGTGACTTTCACATTGTTGGTTGCAACAGATACAAACCATTCGAGCTGGCATGATGCAGTTTTTGAAACTCAGATCAGTTGCTAAATATCAACAACGGGTACCCCAGTGGAAGTCGACCGCTTGTTCTTATAAGCAAAAATTCCAAAAATTCCACGCGAAACTGAATAGGTTATCAATAGTTATAGCACCAAAAACTGACTAAAAAAGATCAGCAATGCACTAGAAGACTTGGCCAATGGATAATAATAACTATGGTTACTCACAGATAAATTTTCAGATTGATGCAAGCACAGAGTTGTGCAATTAAAACGGAGCTCACAGAAACACGTACTTTTCCTTCAGAGGCGCTGTAATTGTATATATATTATTATAACTTGAGACGTGGTCATTGTCGTCTAGACCAGTTAGGTGAAAAATTAAAGCTTCCGCCTTTTGTTGGGTACTTCGACAAAATTGAAGCAAAGAGGACTCTTTATACTTTTTTTAATTCTCTCTAGCTTTCAATGGACTTTGCCATCATCATCAGGAGCTGCAATTACAATGATAACAGTAGCAACAAAAGTGTAAAATGAATTTAAATTGAATCAACTTACAGTAGTATGTGAGGATGTTGCTAATTGTTGTTTTCGTATAGGATGAGGGAAACGTCCAGTAACATGGTGAGAGCTGGATACATGGTACAATGGTTAAAATTATATAAAATATGACAAGACAAGTTAAAGACAGATTAAAAATTATTTAGAAAACATTTGAGCATTACGTTGTGAAGCCACTTGATGATTGCACAAAATGGTGTTCATGGAATAATGAGTGAGATGAACCTTTGACAGAAGGCCGAAGGTTGTCAATGTCTGTGTTGAAAGATGGAACGAATTGTGGGCGTGTGCCAAAACGTTGCCAAATCACTTCAGATGATGTGATTTTCAGAATGTTATGTAAGAAATTGTTAAACCGACCAGAGGCAGTTGAATAAACTATATTTTAATTAATGGGAATTTTAAATTAACAATTATTAATAAATCGTGAGAAGAAAATTATTAGATTTTGAGTGGAATGAAATTTGTTGGTGGAATCGGCTTAACTAACACAGTCTACTCCATCAATTACAACAACTGCAACCAAATATACATAGGTCAGACCTCCAGATCTCTTAAAGGAAGGATTACATCACACAAAAGTGATGCTAGGCTTAATCCTGAAAGATGCGCTCTAGCATCTCATGTTAAGACAACAGGGCATTCTATGAATTACACAAGTATCAAAGTTCTTGATAAAGAAAAACACCTTTCCAAACGTTTATTCCTGGAAATGTCCCGCATTTTCATGAATAACAACTGTATCAACAAAAAGACAGATATTAAACAACTGAGTGTCATTTACTCATATTTTCTAAACTGCGAAAAATTGGAGAACTTACATATCTCCCCAAATTTCGACTTTTCACAACCATAAATATAATCTGTGTTTTGGCCGATTCCACCAACAAATTTCATTCCACTCAAAATCTAATAATTCTCTTCTCACGATTTATTAATAATTGTTAATTTAAAATTCCCATTAATTAAAATATAGTTTATTCAACTGCCTCTGGTCGGTTTAACAATTTCTTACATAACATTCTGAAAATCACATCATCTGAAGTGATTTGGCAACGTTTTGGCACACGCCCACAATTCGTTCCATCTTTCAACACAGACATTGACAACCTTCGGCCTTCTGTCAAAGGTTCATCTCACTCATTATTCCATGACCACCATTTTGTGCAATCATCAAGTGGCTTCACGACGTAATGCTCAAATGTTTTCTAAATAATTTTTAATCTGTCTTTAACTTGTCTTGTCATATTTTATATAATTTTAACCATTGTACCATGTATCCAGCTCTCACCATGTTACTGGACGTTTCCCTCATCCTATACGAAAACAACAATTAGCAACATCCTCACATACTACTGTAAGTTGATTCAATTTAAATTCATTTTACACTTTTGTTGCTACTGTTATCATTGTAATTGCAGCTCCTGATGATGATGGCAAAGTCCATTGAAAGCTAGAGAGAATTAAAAAAAGTATAAAGAGTCCTCTTTGCTTAAATTTTGTCGAAGTACCCAACAAAAGGCGGAAGCTTTAATTTTTCACCTATATTATTATATATAAATATATTAGTAAAAATGTGATTTCATTGCGCCACCAGTGGCGTTTTTTTCTGGTTAAAAGCTACCATTTTGTCGTTTTAACAAGAAGTGGCGCATCTGAGGAGAAAATAGTAAGAGAGGTTTGTATGTAGAAGTGATCAAAGTAATAACTCACTTTGAAAAAAAAACTTGTGAAAAATATAACAAGACATGTTTGCAGGGACGCCACTGGTGGCGCAATAGAATTATTTTTACACTATAATATTTCATATCTTCTATGCATGCCAAAAAAAAATATCTAAGGTCCCTTGGCAGATATGAAATTAAAATTCAACACCCCGTAGCTAAGCCATTGCGGACATATTATATTCTTATAAAAATCGTATATATGCCATCGAAAACGTATAACTCGTCTTGTGTATGGATTTTAGGAAACCTTTGTTCACAAAAATGTTAATTCTGCAATGTATGCTAACTTCAATGCAACTTGAAACGGCGGCGCATTGAGTAAATGTTGGCGATGTTTTCTTAGCTCACGTCCAATTGTGTTGGGGTTAGGGTTAAATATATAGTTAACAGGCGTTTTAAGAAAATAAGTATTACAAAATATCTTTCTATCATTTAATATATTATGTTTATGGTTCATGCAAGACCCAACTTCATAGTCCTGATAACGTGTCTCACTTCAAAGTCTAATATCTCAAAACGTTGTCACCTAGCGTGATTTTTTTTGTATTGTAATGCCCTCGTAATTGAGACCTTGAATTTCGAAAAGATACCCTCGCAAAATTGGGCAACCATTGTTACACCATCATGTATCGCAGCTTGCAAAGATTCGAGAGCATGAGCGGTTGCGGTGAGATTTAAGTTCAAGAATCATCGAGACCGTCACGGGTGTCATGTAAAAAACCTATTAGATGTCAAGTTGCAGTCACTCCAACTTTGCTCACTAGGTCCGTGTCTGTAGTTTTTATCTCTGAGAAGAATGTTGGTCGAAAAGTAGGATCGCATCTGGATGATTATGTGTATTGGTCTGCATGTGTATAAAATCAGTGATATTTGCGGTGTGAGAAAATCATTACTGAATATGCTGAATATGACGGGTTATTTATATGTTGTGCTTCCTGAAGAGATGTAATGTTCAAAGTTATAACTTACAAAAAACTGAAGAGAATTACGGGAAACCATCACCGCGCCCGCGTTGTGTGTAATTACTGTTAGCATGTATATGGCTTGTACTTCGACAGTGTACAGTGAATATGATTATTTCTTATCTCTCTCATTTTTGAAATTCTGCAAATTTGTATATGTAATTTCCAGAATGGATAAGAAAAAGTGGCTACGCAACTAAGCTTTGAATTTCGATTAAGTGTATTTGAGACAAGAATCCAATGGAATTATCATCAACATATACACCTTACAGCTTCGACCTCCAGTAATGCCATCTCTGCAGCAGATTTTACATTAGAGCCAGACATTGATAACTAAAGCCTCATGAGGTTTAGGCAATACGTACAACTAAGTCCTAAATTAACATCTTGCAGAAAAACCTACATAATGTAAAAAAAAAGTATATGTAAAAAAGTGATATAACGTCACTTTTCAAGATACCATGCCATCTTCTAGCTACGACCAGGAACCGAGTTTTTGATAGAAAATGCTGGAGTGCATTGAGAACCGTCGATTCGCCAGATAAATATCCGACCAGAAGGCGGAAGTAGTCAGTTACTGTCGAGAAAGTGAATCTAAGAGCGACCGACGCATCAACATAGTCCAGTCGACATAGTTTTGAATTACCTATTGTCTATCAAGCGTTATGCCAAGTTTTCTTATTTAAAGACATGTGTATACAGAAATGTATTCTATGTGAACCTATAGGGTTACTTTACTTCAATCAGGGGAAAGCATACAGCTTCTTTACTTGACTTCTTTTCCATGTTCGACTTGATTATACCTTTGTAACCATGAAAAGCCGACGAAAGCACAATATGTACGTCTAATTCCACTGGACGTTTTCTGGGCTTTCTTGGATGCATTGAGCTTAGTTATAATCTGGAAACCACCAAGATAAGCTTTAAAGCACTACATTACGGTATCATCAAAAGCTGGACGATAAAAGTTTACTCACTTATGGCGTGCACTCCAAAGTACACCAAGTCACGTGATATAAGCGATAAAAAACAGCCTGAGAACCAGCGTTTTCAAAAGTAGTGGGTTGGCAGCTTAGCGCAACTCTATGAGCTATGCCGTGAGTTTGCCGGTCTCCAAAGTGCAAATTAAACGGCCAAGATTACGTGGTCGCTATCAGCCGCCACTCTAACTAGCAAACAGTGGCGTATCACAGAAAAGGTTAGAGGCAATTGCCCATCATATCTAATACACAGCGATTTCTGGGCGAATTTCTATGACATTGGAAGCAAGACTGAGAGTGTGTGGTCGTTCGTGAGGTACACCGTTTAAATATCCCATCCTTTTTAGCAGCTGAAGCGGAAGTGAGCTGCCAGAATGCTCTGTATATTGAAACAGATGACATACGCTGTGTACGAAAAGTTTGCGGGCATGTCGTTTCTGATTTCGAAGCATAGAGAGCAATAGACCGATCTATAGGTATTTTCTTAGCGTAGAGCAAACATTCAAGTCGCCAGCACCTGGACTATTCTAAATTTTCCAAATACCGTTTAAAATTACTAGCTGTTAGGGGAGTGTTCCTTATCATAGAGTGCCGAAGCTTTCCAAATATAACATCGTCGTATCGTAGAGCTAGCAGTCTTGGTATGCCAGCGTATAGGTTTTTAACAACAAGATGTCCACGCTAGACAGTCAGGAGGATGTCACTTATAGACTGCACCACCTCCGAACTTAAGTCGACTAGCGGTGATTCCTAAAAGAGTCATCTAAATTATTAGTTCATATCAAAGTTTATGCCACTCTCCCGGAAAATGTGGAAGATTTCAGAAATCCGCTAATTGGTGGATGCAATCCAAATAAACATGAAAGAATTTTTGCTGAATATGATCCAGCTGCACCAGACTCGGTACCGAAACTATTTTTCAATAAAAATATATGATGCGTGAGCCCAATCCTGTTGGAAACAGAAACACATATATGCAACAAGTACATTGAAAAAATAAAATGAACTGCAGTAGATGAATAGAATGAAGTTTTAGTTGTGCTATCAACACCTGAAATATCAAAATTTACCAAGACATTTGGGCCCGTGGAATAGAAATTTCAAAGTTTAAGACAAAATTAACAAAACCTTATAAGTCAAAATTCTTCGAGCCGTTTGGACTGTAGCGCCTCGAATAGAATTATTCTTGTCCATACACATGGTCGAAAAACATGACAGTCGGGTAAGTTCTGATACAGTCGTTCGGAAAAGCAAGAAATATAATCCATGCTAGTCTACCCAGACAGACTGGGTTATAAATAACCATCAGACGTTGGCCGTCATAGGAAAATAAATGCGTCTGAGTATCGTGTCGCGACGTAGAGTCTGTCCCTGTTCCTTGTGAATGAAATAAAGAACTTCCCAGTATTCCTCTGTAAAACCAGTGGAAGTTGCCAAATGAACCCCCAGACTTCTAACTTCTCTATAAGCAACAATCTGATCAATAACTATCTGAACAGGCGAGATCTTTACTGATATCGAGTAATCCTGATGGACCGCAGTCAATTAGTGATTAGTGGACAATTTCGGCAGTTTGTCGTTTGAATAAAATACGAACCTTATTACCCACTTCCCGTCTACAAGAGGCAGTAGCAACGTGTTGAAGATCGGTTTGCGTAGGATTTAGCCATCCATTGTTTTCTCTTTTAGATTGGTACTAAAACTACACTCTTTAATAATATGTAACACTCGATACTGTATTCAAAAGAATACACCTTCCGATTATTTATGAAAAATAATTTAAGTTAATTGGCTGCCGCGGCTGGCCTGGCAGTAGTCCATCCTCTTAACCCGATTTTGAAGCACATTTTCGATAGTTTGTGGGTCTATTTCATCAATAGCTCGACGGATATTTTCCTTAAGAACACCAATTGTTTGAGGATCGTTAGTATAACAGCGGTCCTTAACAGTACCCCATAGTAATCCACAGGCGTCAAATCACAGCTGCGGGCTGGCCAATGAACGTCTCCAAAACAACTGATAACGCGATGACCGAACTGAGTGTGTAAAAGATCGATTGTCTCAAGGCTGGTGTGGCATGCTACGCCATCCTGCTGGAACCCGAGATTGTGCAAGTGCATGTCGTCTAATAGTGGCCACAAAAAACTCCTCAACTTGTCTCTATAGTTTAGTTTATTTTCCCGTCACGCTGTTACCATCTTCATCTTGAAAAAAGTAGGGACCAATAGTCCCACCACTATAAAAGCCACACCAAACAGTTACTCCTTTTGGATGCATTTGTTTTTGTATGACGACATGTGGATTTTCAGAACTCCAAATCCTACAGTTCTGCTTGTTAACGTAACCTCCCAACTGGAAATGTTCTTCGTCCGAATAAAAGATTTGGCGACCAAAATTGACGTCCGTTTCCAATTGATTTAGAGCCCACGCAGAGAAACGATATCGAAGCGGATGGTCATGTTGTTTCAACTCTTGCACAAGTTGCACCTTGTAAGGAAATAGTCCCAGGTCGTTATGCAATATTCTCCGCACTGAAGTGCGACTGATGCCCACTTGTGCTCTGCAACACATCACTCAACTTCTTAAAATATAATTTTTGGTGTGTATATGTCGTGGAATTGAGCATTTCATGAAATGTGACCATGGCCAACTAAATTTGACCATACCATTAAATCGTCAACATTTAACGATTTGGCCATTCACGATTGATCATATCGTAAAATAGGGTGTATATAGAGTAATTAATAATAATGCAGAATATGTTACGGAACGTGATTCTTTTTCTTCAAAGTTAGACAACTACTTTGTTTACAACTAGTAACTTTAGAAAATAAAAATAATATAATTTTATTAAAACATCTTTCAATTGGACAAAACGTCTCACAAATAAATTTTTTTAACATACCAGATATCACAAATTAATTATTACAACGCGTAGTCGCCCTGCTCTGCTTAATTTGACGTATAACATAAAAATAAAATGAACATTACGATGAGATTTACATAGCAGTTCAAAAGATAAATACAATATTTTAGCTGGTACATGATTTTTACATCGAATGAATGAAAGGCAATGTAATTTAAAAGTGAAGTACTAACCTGTGAAACACGTTCCGAACTCCACGGTTTCTGTGACCCGCATAGTACTCGAGAGCTCCAGTAATTTTTTGGTGTAACGTCTTTTAATCTAACTTTTTTCCTTATTTGGTATCTAGTTGTTAAAATTTTGACTTCGGACTATCGGTGATTAATGTAAATATTCTACGGTTTTGTCAAACTTACTCCATCTCATGAAGTAGCCACGTGTTTGATTGATCATATCGCTAAACGATTTGAGAGATCATTAATCTGGTCAACACACATCATGATCTGGCCAATAGACAATAATACATTTCATGAAACGGTCAATTTCATGATATCACCACGACGTATATATTATTATTATAATACATTATCTATCTATTCTAAGAAGCCAAACGAACTCTTCCACCACACCGATGTTCCATCGTCACTGCGGGGAATGCTAAGTATTCATCACCCTACCAGCATTGAAGTACTATTCAAAAGCTGCATAAACTAAACCTATACCATTCTGGTGTTTGCTAAAAGGTATGTAAACAACGTTGTATACAGTTGGTTGTCGTCGCAGAGACGGAAAGCAAAGAGATCCTATTCAGTCTGTGTTTACGCAATTTTTGCATGGTACGTCAATGCTGGTAGCATGGTGAGTAGTTAGTACTCCCCCGATTGACGATGGGCGCTCATGTGGTGGACTATCTAGTTTGATGTCTCAGAAGCGAACACTCGTAGGTGCCAGTGCCATTAGATTTTTATCTGATGAGAATCCAAAGAACCGAAGCAAAAATCAGAAGAGATCCAAGGTTTTCAATGAGCCTTAGCGGTTTCCAAGAAAAACTAAAGTTCTCCAAAAGGATCTAAAGGAATCTAACCTTTTGTTCTGGAAAAATTTCAGTGGTTAGCAAGTCGCGTTTAACGTAATCCACAGTTCTTGTAAATGCAAAATATCCCTGTTAATGGTGGCTAAGCTACCGAGACCAGGACATTGAAAAATCAATTCATTTGATTCCATACCAAGTATTGCCTATTGCCGAAGCCTTCTCAGAACTTCTCATGATTAACAAATGTTCGCATCTATTAAACGAAGCATTTAAGTGCACAGAAACCCTCATCAGTCACTGGCAGAACGTTCGCATACACGTTGGAGAGAGAGACGTCGAGAAATACGATAGATGGGTCAAGGGAGCTCCTAAATACTAGAATCTACCCTCTTGACAGGGAATTCGTTAGCCTTAGTTACACTAGCATCCAGTTGCAACAGCCGTCCAATGGAACTTGGATATTCGAATAGCCCCAGGGACTCTCAATTTTGATAGATTTCATGCACGGGTAGCATACTTCTGTTCAGGATATCCGATATATTTCTACAGGGTGAATTTTCCTCAGAACTGTCCGGGATGAACTTCTTTACTTTATGAAACAAGTAAATACGTTCTACTGTTCGTCATGTTAGGTCAGAGTGATTCATAAAACCTTATCTATTGAGTTCGTCCGTACTTTGTGGAAGTTGTTAATTTTGGGGCACCAGGGATACAATAAAACATTATAACTGCTTTTACAAAACCAAGAAACTACAAAACCGTTTTGATAAATATGCTAAATTAATTGTAGTGTCTTGATAGATATTTATCATAGTAGTTTCGGCTGCTCACCTGACCTGGGGCCTGATTCTGAATGAGTTTCGATCGTTGAAATTGATTGCGATGGCGCCTTTTGGCGATATACTTGATTCGCTATGATAATTTTGACACTTCAATGATAATTTGAAAATACAAGATCGATATTATCACATGTCAAAATTACCGTTGCGATTCAAGTATATCGTCACAAGGCGCTATGGAAATCAATTTCAACGTTCGAAACTCATTTAGAATCAGGCCGCTGATGTAACTCTTGAAGATACAAAATGTGTTATTTTCAGTTGCATGCGAGAATCCCTTCAACTATACCCCCTACTTTTCCTACTGAGTTATGAAGCAGTTCGTTCTTCAAGATGGTTTAGGATGTGCTTTTGAATAATACGTGGTGAAACTGAAAACAATCTTTTTGTAGTTGTTCAGTACGTAATCTTAATACTTCTGTTTTCACCTACCGGGTTCGTGCAAGGTTATGGAAGACATTAGATAGAATTTGATAACGGAATTATCTGATTCGTTAAGCAGACCATTGAGTATCTTAGAATGGTACGAGACCTAAAAGTATAATTAAATATAACTTAGAGCCCGCGCAGACAGAAGGTGATCAGATGTTCCGAGTTCAGAGCTCTGCGTTCTGTGTAATACGTACTTCCTTATATTACTACAAATATTACAAAGAACGCAGAACTCTGACCTCGGAACGCCTGACAGCCTTCTCTCTGCGCGGGCTTTCCACAGGTGCCTGTAAGTTCAGAATAATATGATTATTTTCATTTAAAGTAATGTATCTCCTAGATAAATTGTTAACACTGTCTGAGGATTTCTTGAATATTGTGATCTACTTTTACTAACGTCTTTTGGATCAACCCCGGATTCAGGATTTCGTCTAGGGAGAGCGCAAACGATAGTTGAGACTGGTCATTTTTTAACCTCAGTGGAACTTATTCTATCGTTGCTCCTTAAATCCATCCTGGTCAGCTTGGGAAAAAAACATGGAAATTGCTCAGAAATCCTCAGAAAGCCAATATTTTATTA